AGTCTCCTGCCTCCGCCTCCCAAGTAGCTGGGACCACAGGCGCCCGCCACAATGCCCGGCTATTTTTTTTTTTTTCCGGTTGCAGCCATCATTGTTGTTTGGCGGGCCTGGGCTGGATTCGAACCTGCCACCTTAGGTGTATGTGGCTGGCACCTTAGCCACTTGAGCCACAAGTGCCAAGCCACAAACTTTTTTTTTGAAAATAGGCATTTCCACAGCAGTTTAAGTGTGATTGTCTTTTGTTGCTGTCAGTGTCTTGTTGTTTCCTAAAGCATACGGGTTCTATCATAATTTATGATATTCTTTGATGAATGACAGTGCTGTTAATCATAACCTAACGGAATTTTGAATAAATTCTCACACAGGGGAAAAACAAATCAAATGTCATATCACTGTGAACTTGAGCCAAATTTTGGCACAAGCAGAAAAGACAAGACTGGTTTTGTGAACAATTCCTTATGACACCTTCAGCAACAGTAATACTTATCCGATCTTCCCTTACTTAAACATCCTTTATCCGTAAAAAGTCTTCCTAACAGCTCTCAGCTGCTTTCATTGGAGGACAGAGTTATTTGGCTGATGGCTGAGGTGACATCCATTACAGGGACGAGAATTGTTTTTTGCTTTTTATAATCTCAAAAAGGTTCTGAGGTTGGCTTTATAATGTGTATGTCTATTATTGACCAGTATTACCATGTAGAGGTTTGAGGACTGAACCCTGATTAGCAGTCTTCACAGTGCTGTCAAGGTCAGTGATGCTGACGCCCCATTGTCTAGGTCAAGGAACTAATGCACTAGGAAGTTGAAGAACTTGTTTAAAATCTCACAAATAATCAGTTTTCCTTCAATTTTTTTTTCTTCAGTATTCGTTTATCACATATATACAGAAGAGTCTTTTCCTCCACTTTCAAAGTCCCGGACCAGTAGAAAATGAGCTCTCAGTTCTTTGGAAAGAAAAACCTTCCAGATACTCTTTCTATCATGCTGTCATCCTTTTGACTCTACCCAGCTTTATTATGTCTCTGTTTGTGTTGAAGTCAAAAGAGCTCATGGTTCAGACACTTTTCTTACTGTTTTTTGCACCTTTATGTAATACCATATCAAGATTAGATATAACCAAATTTTGCAATGTTATAAGAAAACTTTTTCCACAGATGAGTATAGGAATACTACGATGCTCATAGGACATTTTACAGGCTGTTAGCAATTGGTCACCATGAGACACACGCACACAGAGTACTTGATTGCCATTCAATTGTTAGCAAACTAAAATTAACCTTTACTGGAGGTAAAGGACAACCAGTTAGTAGCCATCATGCATTTATCTCATTCCAAACTCTTAGAATATAGAATGAAAATTATTCATGTAGTAAAAAGCAGAAACGCATTATGCGTAACCATCAACAAAGTCTGTGTTTAATCAGGCAAGAGCTAGATCTCCTGTACTTACTTGTTTTAATTTTGTAATACTTTAAATATATGTTCACTCAAGTGGAAAACTTTCATACCAGGAGAATGGATTAATAAGTGTGGGGCATTTCTACAACAGTGGAATCACTGAGCTACCTGCATCAGCCTCAGAGTATAACACTGGGTAAAAAAAAGCCAAAGAGCGTCACAGTGTGATGCTGTTTATATTAAGTTCAGAGACAAGCCCATGATGTACCCATGGTAAAACTGTAGCGTAGAGGAAATAAATAGATGGAAAATCAAGATAGTAATTACTTGGGGGCTGGGAGTGGTAGAGGGAGCAGGGGATGAGTGGGACAGGAGCCCGAGGAGGTGGGTGGACATCCCTTGGTATCTCACTCGGAGGTTACATGATGGTCTCACAGGTGTTCCTTGGTTCTTATGCTCTACCTTACATGTATGTTACTTTAACCTGCTGGCGAGTATCAGATAATTTTTAATTTTAAAAAATGTCTTAAATGTCTTTACTTTTGTTCTGTATTTATTAGAAGTTTAAGGCTTTGTCTTCTGGCAGAGTTCTTTGTTCATTTTAATTGTTCATTTAATTTTTATGCTGCAATTAAAGCTTTAAAAGCAAATAAGAAATTATAAATTAAACGATGAAAAGTAGGAAACCTCTATTGGTTCTAAATCTAAACCACCCCCAGGGGTGCCTTTATGAGGGAGATGGAAAGGGGAGAGACACTGTCTCCTCAGGTTAGGAAGGAAACCAGTGAGGGTAACAGGAGAAGATGGGCAGGAAAAGGGGACCAAACTGCAGACCCTGGAGTCAGAGCCAGACCAGGCGAAGGGGCAGCATCAGTTGGCGCGTCTGCTGTCACGGTGACTACTCCTGGAAGAATGGTGGCACACCATTTGGGCAGTCCACGGAAACTTACTACTTTGCTCTCTAATCTTATAAATAATTTCCTTTCTTTCCTAGAAACTACATCGGAAGTGTTGTTTTAATTTAATTTAATTAGGTTTTGTCACATTTCAATAATACTTCCTGTTTCTTTCTTTACCAGAGGAAGAAGAGGAGCAGGTACCCACGGATGGGGGCACCTCGGCGGAAGCCATGCAGGTTCCCTTGGAAGAGGATGATGAACTGGAAGAGGAGGAAATTATTAATGATGAGAATTTCCTGGGTAAGAGACCACTGGATAGCCCCGAAGCTGAAGAAATGCCTGCCACAAAGCGACCCCGGCTGCAGAGCACGAAAGGGGACAGCCTAGATGTCGTGTTATTAGAAGCCCGAGAACCCCTCAGCTCAATAAATACGCAGAAGGTCCCACCCATGCTCTCTCCAGTGCACGTGCAGGACAGCACAGACCTCGCCCCTGCGTCCCCAGAGCCACCCATGTTGGCTCCAGTTGCAAAATCACAGTTGCCAAGTGCAAAACCATTAGAAACCAAGTCCTTTGCACCTAGAACAAAGACGAAAACTAGTTCTCCAGGACAGAAGACTAAGTCACCTAAAACTACCCCGTCACCAGCAATGGTCGGAAGTCCTATTCGGTCACCAAAAACGATGTCCAAAGAAAAGAAATCACCAGGACGGTCTAAGAGCCCCAAGAGTCCCAAGAGCCCCAAGGTTCTGCCTCACATTCCTCAGGTACCCGTCAGACCAGAAACACCAAACAGGACTCCTCCAGCCACAGTAAGTGAAAAGAGCATTAAAGAGGCAATCCAGGTGAAGCAGACACAAACCCCTCCTGATGCCGTGAAGCTGAGCAATGAGAATCAGCCGAAAAAGGCTGTGGTGACAGATAAAACGATCGATGACTCCATCGATGCTGTGATTGCGCGCGCCTGTGCTGAACGAGAGCCAGATCCTTTTGAATTCTCTTCTGGATCAGAATCCGAAGGAGACATTTTTACCAGCCCCAAAAGAATTTCAGGTTCGGAGTGCAACACTCCAAAAGCCTCCACTTCCTCAAACAATTTCACGAAGTCAGGATCCACTCCTCTGCCTCTTTCGGGTGGAACTTCCAGTTCCGATAACTCCTGGACAATGGACGCCTCAATTGATGAGGTTGTGCGGAAAGCAAAACTGGGAACGCCTTCAAATATGCCCCCCAACTTCCCGTACATCTCTTCTCCTTCTGTGTCCCCTCCCACCCCCGAGCCTCTCCACAAGGTGTGTGATGAGAAAGCCAAGCTGCCTTCATCAGTGGAGGTAAAGAAGAAGTTGAAAAAGGAGCTGAAGACTAAAATGAAAAAGAAAGAAAAGCAGAGAGACAGGGAGAGGGAAAAAGACAAAAACAAGGAAAAAAGCAAAGACAAGGAAAATAAAATAAAAGAGAAAGAAAAGGAAGCTGGCAGGGAAACCAAGTATCCATGGAAGGAGATTCTGAAAGATGAGGACTCAGACCCTTACAAGTTTAAAATAAAAGAGTTTGAAGATGTTGATACAAAAGTGAGATTGAAAGATGGAGCTGTGAGGAAGGAGAAAGAGAAGCATAAAGATAAAAAAAAGGACAGAGAAAAAGGTAAGAAAGACAAAGAGAAAAGAGAAAAAGAGAAAGTGAAAGACAAAAGCAGAGAAGATAAGTTGAAAGCAGCACCAGCGCCTCTGGTGCTGCCCCCGAAGGAGATGGCTCTGCCCCTGTTCAGCCCCACCGTCGCCGCAGCCAGGGTGCCCGCCATGCTGCCCTCGTTGGCGCCAATGCTTCCAGAAAAACTCTTTGAGGAAAAAGAGAAGCCTAAGGAGAAAGAAAGGAAAAAAGACAAAAAGGAGAAGAAGAAAAAGAAGGAAAAAGAGAAGGAAAAGGAAAAGAAAGAGAAGGAGAGGGAGAAAGAAAAAAGAGAAAGAGAGAAGAGAGAAAAAGAAAAGGAGAAACACAAGCATGAAAAAGTAAGCCATTTCTCACTTTGGGCACTGTCTGAGCAAAGTCCTAGTGACAAATACAGGTAAACACAGGCAGCATTTATATCTGTACGGGGCGGGGGGAGGGGGGGTAAATCACCCATCACTGAAGTGGAAATATGTTCGAAATGAGGTCACAAAATTTAATTTTAATTCTAAAACCCATAAGCTTATATTCGGGCCCTCAGTACCCTAGAAGATTTCAAAAATTCGTAGCCTGGGAGGAATCTGCTCATACACTATAAACTCTCTACTAACCATACTAATCGCTGATAGTTTTTAAAAATAAGTGATCTTAGATTGTGAGTAATATCTTTATAATTATCAAGTCTGCTACATAATATTGTGTACCCAAGCATTAGACATCTAAAATAGAGAGCCTCCATCTGTGTAAGTGCAAAACCGGGGCACTATTTTAGGAGGGTGACAAGGCCTGTGGGAGGGCTGACTGCTGCCTCACCTCTCTTCCTGGTGAGCCATTCTGGCATGCATTTAGGATTGCGGCTGTCTACAGAATTTTCATTAGCGTTTCCTATTCCTTCCATTTTCTGCTTTAATAAGATTAAAACACATTTCTGAGTGTTTGAGCCTGAGTATGTAGGCTGCTATGGCAGCCTGGTTGGTGGGCAGAAAGTAATTCCACGTAGCAGGACATTTTCCCATTTCTTCTGAGGTACAGCCAGAGAACTGACAGGGACCCTGTGGTTTTGTAAGAAGCAGGACCTCAGTCCTGGGCAGAGGGATCACTGCTTCTATGGGGACCTCAGTCCTGGGCAGAGGCATCACTGCTTCTGTGGGACCTCAGTCCTGGGCAGAGG